CTTGACCAGAATCACACCTGTGACTCACTGATCCATGGGCTGACACTATAACTGCTGAGCCAAACCGGCCAGGGCGGGTTCTTTGTCTTTTTATTGCTGAATTCTTCATCACTTTTTTTTCTTAAATATGTTTTATTGTTTGTTTTAGAAAGAGAGATAGAAACATTGATCCACTGCCTCCTGCAAGCCGCCTCTCCCCTTGGGGATTGAGCCCGCAACCCAGCATGTGCCCTGACCGGGAATCGAACCGGGACCTTTCAGTCCATGGGACTATGCTCAATCCACTTAGTTGATCTCTTCATCACTTTTAACATTGAACAAATAACGATCATAAACTCCACCCAAAGCTCCATGGTCAGTCAGATTCACCCACGTTATGGTACTATGTAAGTACACTGTAGTATGGAAAATGTGGACATCACTGAAGTGACATCATGGTGACTATTGCCCATGTGATCCACAGCTCTGATCCCATTCATGACATGAATGAAACATTTTTTCTTTGATCATATTGGCATTTTGTTAAGTTAGTAGAGTTCTAAACCCTCGACCAATTACATTTTGTCAAATTTTAAAATATAATGCAAATGATTTGATATGTGATTAAATAAAGGACTTAGTCATTTCAGCAGCTGAAGATAAAATAGAACCAATTGTTACAGTACAACCCATTGATGTTTTCTAACTATTGTTAATCTGAAGTTTTTCCTCCATGTATATTTAATTATTGAAAATAAGTTGCAAAAATTTTACCGAAGTTCCTAGTAGATAAATTAGAGGTGAGAACCACCTTCTATTCTCACAAAGTTTGGTCTCTTGCACAATAGCAGTGACTAAAATAAATGGTGCCAATTTTTTTGGAAAGAGTCTTGTTTAATTCAGAATATAATTAAAATCTCATGTAGCTTTATTGGTTTTAGTATCCAGCAGAGAAAAAATATTGAAACTCCAAGAGATTTTGAATTAAATAGCTACAACAGTTTTGTTTTATTAGTTCTGACTGTGTGAAAAAAATTATAAGGACAACTTTGGAAAAATCTTGTTCTTTTAGAGCCCCAAATGACTTTTAAAACAATAAAACAAACTATAAAACCTACACAAGTGATATTAAAAATTATGTAGTTCAATAAATGTGACATTCACAAATGTGGTTGCAATTTTTTTTTAACTGTAGCAAAATGAACATGGATCTGACTATTGGATTTAGAAGAGGTAGTGTTACATAGCTTAAAAGAATTAAGTGCTTCAATTTGCTAGTGAGGATTATGTAGCTGAGTTGGAATGTTATACCAATGCCTTTTAAGATCTCCATTCAGCTCATAGGTTCTGTGGTTAAATAAAAAAAAGGGATGATGCTTCCTTTTCCTAATTAGTGATTATTTCCCTGGCAGTTCCTATTTATTTTTGTAAGCTTTGTAGAGACATATCTTTCTGGTGGCTGAGTCATGCACAAAACAAATTATAAATCCATACTATTTTTGAAGATGGAGAATGAAAGCTGACTAGTAAAGGCATTAAATAAACTGTTGTGATTATCTCAATTGCTCACTAGGTGGAAGGGGCAGATAAACAAAGGTGAGGGAAAAACATTTTGTGAGAATATAATAATCAGTTATCTGCTTAGTCCACTGAGGTCCAAATCATTAAACACCCAAATATAACTTTTTATTTTATTTTATTTTTCTTTATTGATTTTAGAGAGAGAGGAAGGGAGAGGGAGAGAGAGATAGAAACACTGATGAGCGAGAACATCGACTAGCCACCTTCTGCATGCCCCCCACTGGGGACTGTGCCCACAACCTGGGCATGTGCCCTGACCAGGAAATGGCAACTTCTTGGTGCATAGGTCAACGCTCAACCACTGAGCCACCCTGGCTGGGCCCAAACATAACTTTTAAAGGCACCTGTGAGCTTCAGATAGTAACTGTCCTTTCTTTGTCCCCAAATCTGTCTGTCCTTGGTGCACAGAAGTGCACATGTTAGTTTCATAATCTCCCAGCACCTGCCTGAATTCTCCATCAGGCCATGTGATGAGAATTATGACTGGTGGAATGGGTACAACATCAGACCAGACCACAGAGGCACCAATGATCCACAAACAGCCCTCCACAGATGGTTCCCAGGGGCAATACACCTCCTGAACTTGTATGCAGACTTAAATAATTCAAATAATTCTACCTTAAAACTATAAGACAATGCTTTCATTTTAAACATTTCCCTCTTTACATGCACATTATCTGTGTGCATATATGTGTATACTGAACTATTCCAAAGGAAGTTGCAGATATCATAACCCTTCACCCCTAAATAGTTTGCCTATACCTCCCAAGAATAAAAACTTACCCACAATACCAATATCACTATTAACACAGTGAATACTAATAATGTCATCTAACATACAATTCACATTCAGTTTTTGCCTATTATCTTCCAAAATGTCTTTTGTCAATTTTTTTCTTTTTAATCCAGAAGCCAATCAGTTGGGGTGCCAATCAATTGGGGTGATACTATGAGACCTTGTTAAATCCTCATCCTCAATAATGTTTCAGTGGTTTTGGTAATCAATACAATTCTTTCTTGAATGAATTATTACATTTTCTGATTTTTTTTCTTAAAAAATTTTTTTTCTTCATTGCTTTTAGAGAGAGAGGAAGAAAGAGGGTGAGATAGAGACATCGATAAGAGAGATCATTGATTGGTTGCCTCCTGCATGCCCTGCCCTGGGGATTTAGCCCACAACCTGGGCACGCACCCTGACCCAGAATCGAACTGGTGACCTTTTGGTGCATGGGTCAATGCTCAACTACAGAGCCACACAGGCTGGGCCATTTTCTGATTTTTTTTCAATTTTTCTACATTTGTTAGCTGTCATTCTTTCAGCGTTACCATCTACCATCCCTTTCTCTAAGTGTCACTACATGTATTCAGATACTATGTACTGTTATAGTCAATGTGTTATGATCTATACTGTGTTTTTAATGCTTTAATCACCCCAAATTTGGCCAATGTTAGACTCTTCAAGGCAGTTCTTGTTTTGTCTCTGGTTTTGGGCAGCTCCTGCCCCCAGCGCACCTTGTACTTTTCCTGCCCCAGACTTAGGAGTCAGCCACTTCTCCAAGGACCTACTTTTACTATGAACACACCACATATCCACGTCATTCAATTCTCCAAATATTCATGAAGTATACAGTACAGTCTCCGCCCAACTCCACCTTTCTCTTCATAGACAATGTTATTAGTTTTTTATATATCCTTCCAGAGATAGTTTATATAATAGAGCAAAGGCACAGATAAATATTCATACCCTCTTCCAATGTTTTACCTCCAATGATAGCTTATTATGCTCAGTGTGTTTATCTATACTTGTAACTCTTGTCCGTCCTTAGATTCTGAAAGATGCCTATAATCCCGCCCCCAAAAGATTAGGAAGCTTTAAGCTAAGTCTTAAATGTTTCAGGTAAGAAAAGCTCAGGGAGGGTGTCTTGACCAGTTGCACTGGCAACACTCACATGCCATTCCCTGGACTTAGACTATTTGTCCCTCTCTAGGCTCTTTGATAACCACTCATTCCTTAAACATCACTTCCTAGGGGAACCCTTTCTCTTCCTTAACATGCCCCCTTCCCCAATTAACTGATGTCCCTTTGTTATAAGGTTCCAGATTATTACGTACTTCTACTTCATGGCACATACACAAGTCACTGTATTAAGATTTGTTTCCTGCCTTGGTGAGGACAGGAACTACATTTGTGTAGTTCACTGCTGGCACAGAGTAGTTACTCAATAAAAATGTGCGGAGTGAAACTCGAACTCGGTCCTTTGGCTTCCAGTCCATTGTTCTTCCTACTGCGGTTCCGCTGCAGTTTGAGAAACAGTTCCAAGATGTAAATAAAAAATCTCAATAGAAGAAGCTGGTAAGTCTTTTCATTTCTATGATTAATGGAGGACCTTAGCTGAAACAGCTCACCGCGAGGTGTGACGACCACAGGAGGGCGTCAATCAAAAAAATGCCCCCTTGCCCCACAGGCGAGTGGAGCTGCACAGAGCCGAGGCCACACCGGGTAGCGTCACAGCTTCAATAGAAAACACGTGCAAAACGGAAAAGTGAGGCTGCGCACAGCTGCGATCCCCTAGGATTCGGAGAGAGGGGACATGGAGCAGCCCCCACTGGGTCGGAGAAGGCCGCACAGTTTCTGCCTGGAGCCACAGCACCCAGACTTGCCCCTGATTCCTGCCCGAAGAGTCTTCCGCCGGCTTCCCCAGGGAAGTGGCTGAGTCCGGGGACCCACAAAATGGAAAGGGCTAGAGCGGCCGAGAGTCCGAAGCACCTGAAGTCTAGTCGTCCATACGTCACTGGGACGCAGCTAAGGGCCTTGGGTCCCTCTCCTGGTTGCTGCTCCAGGACCCCAGGGCACTCTCTCCCGCTGAGAGCTCTGGAGACACCCGGGCAACACCAGTGCCACCGTTACTCCAGGAAGCACGCGGACGAGGGTGGATACTCTCAGGCCTGCGAAGGCGCGGCTCTGCCAGTGGCCTCTACGCTAGCCAGGCCCGAGTCCAGTTACCCCTTGCCTGGGGCCCCGGGCCGCTAGTGTCCCCGAGTTTCGGCAGAGATGCCTCCCCGCTGTGCTGACTGTTTAAGTCCGCGTTCACGGCAGCTGTTTCCTCTCGACTCCCACGACGGACACGACCCTGAGATTTCTTCGAGGGCATCCTGGGCCAGCCTGCCGGGAGCCCCGAGCGACCGCGGCAGCTAGGCACCGGGGCTCAGGGTCCTTGGAGCCTGGGAGCAAGCGCGTCCCGGGGGCGGGGAGCTCGGCCGGCGGGGGCGGGCCAAGGGTGGGGGCGGGAGGCGGCTCCCGGGGCTCCGCGCCATTGGCCGCAGGGCCCGGCGGCAGGAAGGGGCCAGAGAGCGCGGCCCCACCCCGCGGCCAGCAGAGCCTATCGCCGGGAGTGCGGAGCGCGGATAAATGTAGCGCCGCGGCGCGGGCCGACAGCTCTCCGAGGGGCCGGAGCGCAGCGGAGCCATGCAGTACCCGCACCCCGGGCCGGCAGCGGCGGGCGCCGTGGGGGTGCCGCTGTACGCGCCCACGCCGCTGCTGCAGCCCGCGCACCCGACGCCTTTCTACATCGAGGACATCCTGGGCCGCGGGCCCGCCGCGCCCGCGCCCACTCCCACCCCCACGCTGCCGTCCCCCAACTCCTCCTTCACCAGCCTCGTGTCCTCCTACCGGACCCCGGTGTACGAGCCCACGCCGATCCACCCCGCCTTCTCGCACCACTCCGCTGCCGCGCTGGCCGCTGCCTACGGACCCGGCGGTTTCGGGGGTCCTGTGTACCCCTTCCCGCGGACGGTGAACGACTACACGCATGCCCTGCTCCGCCACGACCCCCTGGGTAAGGGCGGCCGGGGTCATGGCGGGGCCGAGCCGAGGCGGGGCGAGGAAGGCGCCACCCGGCAGGTGGCAGTGCCCTGGAGGCGGCGGGGGCGCAGGGGGAGGCAATAGAAAGTTGTGGCAAAAACGATTGAAAAGCGGCTCTCGGGAGCGCGCGGGTTCGGGAGACGCGGGCACTGCCGGCGCGCGGCAGGAGTGACCGCACCGTGACTCAGATTGGTTTTCCTGAACCTTGCAGGCGTCGGGGCGCGGCGGCGGGGCGAGACCTCTGGTGCTGCCGCAGGGGCTGGCAGCCGAAGGCAATCCTGGGGCGCGCGTGTCGCTTTGGGTGGGTTCCCCTTAGCTGGAGGGACAGGGAAGGGAGGGCCAAGGCGCCCGGGCCGGCCCCTGCAGGGCAGGGATAGTTGCTGGGCCCGGTGGTTACGGGGCTGGACCTAGTTCAACAAGCTTGTGTAGTGAAAGAGCCTGACCCTTTCCGTTCATACAGGAAATCTTGAGTTCTCGATAGGAGTAAATCTGGTTTCAGAAGCTGTTAAGTGTTTTCCTGGCTGCGTGAAGCAGACCCTTCCCCCGGAGTAGTGCACGCTGCTGATTATTTTATCGACATCCTCAATACAGACAAATTCAGGAAACACTCGACTTCTGATAGCCGGGATCCGTTTTTCTGATATTGTTCATTTCCTCTGTGTGGGATGTGACTTTATGGCAGCTAAAATAACCAGTTGCTTCCTTTTTTTTTTTTTTTTTTTTTTTTGAGGTTGTTTTGCACCAGTCTGAAGCCTGACGTAAGCAAAATCTCGAAAACACACACACACACACACACACACACACACACACAACAATGCCAGCTTTCAAAACGTTTAGGCACAGGCCTGCAGACCCACGGACGGATGGACTGTCGGACACGTCTCTGGAGTAGGAAGGGTAGCGTAGAATTTTCAGGGCTTGTCCCCTCAGTGTGCGGCATAAGACGTATAAGATACCCTATAAGACACATAAGATACCCTTGATTCCCACTCCGGGTGGCCCTTGGCGCCTCTGGTATCTGAAACCCTGGGGTAAATAAGGAACTGGGGCTCCTAGCCTTGGGCCACCAGAGTTTTAAATCTACTCTTTGTAATTGGCAGCTTCTGTAGAGACCCTGGAGACAACTACTATTTTAATTAATTTACATTTTAAAGTCATTACGATGGCACCGCCTCTAGCTCAGTTCTCCACTTTGTCGTTGTTAGAGAGATGGGGGTGGAGGATTATATTTTAGTTCTTGTCTTAAAAAAGTTATTATACTGTATTTTTTTATTTCAGCCTGGAGGGTTTGGTGCTGCGGCCCCGGCGTGGCTCTGTTAACCTGCTGGCGCGGGAGGGGGATACTCAACTGGGCGGGGTATGGGGGCGAACGTTTTCACCGAGCGCGCCCTGAGTTTCCTTGGGTTACTGCTGGGACTGCGCAGGAGGAAGCAAAGGGTTTTCGAGATAGACCAACAGGAAACACATTGACGGAAATGTTGCCATAGCCCACGGGGTGGCTTTAACTGGCTGCCCCCGCGGCCCGGGTGTGAAATCAGAGGAGGCCGCGGCGCCCTGGATCCAGGATTGGAAGCTCCACGCACGGCCGAAGGCTGGCGCCGGGCTCAAGGGCTTCCCGCGCAGCCTGGCGCGTGGTTCCCTGGTTAGGCTCCCGCCGTCGGCCTGTGGCCACAACCGCCTTGGGTGGTGTAACGGCCCCGCTCCTCCCCAACAGACACTCAGGGTATTTGGAAAGTGCGCTTCACCAAGGCAGAGGACTTGAAGGTGCAAAAAGTTGTAGATAAATTGAAGAGCGACTGATTAAAGAGGGTCATGGTATTTTAAGTTCAACCTATAATTGGTGATCTTTTGGGGATCAAGCTATGGGTGTAAAGGTTGTATGTGTCTAGTGTCTGTTATTGTTCAAGGCCGTCTCTGTGCTTATTCAGTATAGGTGTGTGACTTTCACTGTTTCAGTGGCTCTGGGTATGTGTATTGGTGGCAGTGTGTATCCGTGAGTGTATATGAACGTGTCTGGTTGGGTGTCCTCCTGAGTCCCCTTACGCTTTTGTCACCCTCAGGGCCAGGTAGGTCTAGGGTCGGCAGGCTGCTCCAGGGCCGTCACTAATCACCACTCTTGCTGCCCACAGGCAAACCTCTGCTCTGGAGCCCTTTCTTGCAAAGGCCTCTGCATAAAAGGAAAGGAGGCCAGGTGAGGTTCTCCAACGACCAGACTATCGAGCTGGAGAAGAAGTTTGAGACCCAGAAATACCTCTCCCCGCCTGAGAGGAAACGTCTGGCAAAGATGTTGCAGCTTAGCGAGAGACAGGTGAGCGCGCTGGCTGCTTGAGGCAGGCTCCTGGAGCCGGCGTCGCGGGGTGGAAGAAAGTCGGGGAGGCATTGTGCGCTCTTGCTGTCGCGCCTGGCTATCCAACTGCAGATGCGCTGGTCTGCTCTACAGCCCGGTGTCTGCCGCCTCCCCGCTAGGTCCCTAGGGATTCTGGACTGGTGGCAAGTTTTCTCTCTCTCTTTCCTGTAGGTCAAAACCTGGTTTCAGAATCGACGCGCTAAATGGCGAAGACTAAAACAGGTATGGGCGTGGTTCTGTTTCTATGGAAATAAATATTTTTATCAGGTTATCTCAATGCAAGGCCTGTTATAGGTTGTATGCAAAAGTCATTTGAGAGTCTATTTAACCTCTTCACCTTGATTAAAAAGGCAAATAGTCTTGCTGAAAGTCAGGATGAGTTGCTCAGGTGGCAGTAATGCTAAAAGCAGCTAATGCAGTTCCTATATCAATTATGCTTGGGTTTTCACACACTGGCTAGTAAAACTACTGGCTAATTGTTTTATAAACCCCATATGTTGTTTATCTAATTAACGCAGGAAAGATAAAGTAATTGACAGTAAATGACTTAAGCAGTTATCTTTGGGAGAAAATTGTTTCTTTTATTTACACAGCCATAATAAAACCAGGCAGAGCTCAAAGGTAAATATAAAGAAATAAACACCTTTAAGTCTTGTTTGCACTGTTTTTTAGAAGAATTAAATATCAAAGAGTTTAAAAATTATTTTCCATCTAATGCCAGCTCTTAAAATGAATATAGAAAGGTGTAAGATAATATCCAAGCCTGTTTGGAAAGTAGCTTAAACTTTCTAACAGTCTTTCTTCCAGTGTCCTCGTTACACAATATGTGATAAAAAAGTAAAGTCTAATTCAGTTTTTAAAGGTGCTCGATTGATTTAAGGCTAAGGATTTGTTTATGATGTCCTAATCTGGATGTCTTCTTCAAAACAATCTGACAGTTGATGAATTGTTCATTTGCCAGTGTATGTATAGTTGATAGTAAATAAAATATTTTTGAAACAATAATACGAGTGGGGAAATTGAAAGCAATGTGCATTTTAAAATATAGTGATCATAAAACATTTTCATTAAAAACAAGATAGTGTTACAAAGAACATTTTGAAGCAGGAAATAAAATTCCCATAATTTTATTATTCTAACATGATTTTAAAAATTTCAGGTTTCCTCTCAATTTCTGACCTTGTGCATATATTTGTTACATAGATGCAAGCCTGGTGAATCTATTATTCTATAGTCTTGCTTTAAAAAAAAAAAAAAACACCTTATAGCCTGGCTGGTATGGCTCAGTGGTTCAGTGTAGACCCGTGCACCAAGAGGTTGCCAGTTTAATTCCAGTCAGGGCACATGTCTAGGTTGTGGGCCAAATCCCCAGTGCGGGGCATGCAGGAGGTGGCCAATCGATGTTCTCTCTCATCCGTGTTTCTGTCTTTCTCTCCCTCTCCCTTCCTCTCTCTCTCAAAATCAATAAAGAAAATAAATTTAAAAAACACCTTATAATATTTCTGTATAGTATTTATGATCATTTTAGACAAACACAGGACTAAAAATTTACTAATACATTTAGCTCTTGGTCAAAAGTGTGACTGTACCAGGGACTTTAAAAATAGGAGTACCTATGTAATATGGGAATATTTTCCAGAAATTTCCTTCAGATTTTAAGTTGTTTCCCTTTTCAGTTGAAAACATTCTTCTATTTCTGCATTTATTTGCCACAATTTTGTAACCTGTTACACATATTTATGTGACTATGTTTATAAACATACTTCAGAAAATGGATGAAAAGGATTCAGTCTGATAATTTTGAAACTTTACCCTTAATCATTATTTAGCATTCATTTAAAAAAAATGTCTGGAAGGCCATGTTAATTGGCAAGGTTTAATTATTTGAAGAATGATGATAATGTGTATGTGCACAGTGATCTGATTTCTTCCCCCCCGCTAAACTTTTTTGAGAATCTTTAGATCATGGGTTTGGGCTGGAACTAGTGTTCATTTGACATAATATATTTACAGTTATATTTGTGACTGGTTCTTATTTGGCAAGAGTATAATCTTTCTCTGATATGAAAAGAACTTCTTCCAAAGTGAGAAAAAGAGTATGTAAAGATTCTAGCTAAAAGCAATTGATAAACTAAAAATTAAAAAGATGGTAAAGGATGAAAAGACATTTTGATTTATGCCTCACCACTTCCATATTTCATGATCTACCAATCTCCATTTTTCACCCTCTTTATTCAGGAGAACCCTCAAACTAATAAAAAAGAGGAACTGGAAAGTTTGGACGATCCCTGCGATCAGAGGCAGGACCTGCCCAGTGAACAGAATAAAGGTGCTTTGGATAGCTCTCAGTGTTCGCCTTCTCCTGCCTCCCAGGAAGACCTTGAATCAGAGATTTCAGAGGATTCTGATCAGGAAGTGGACATTGAGGGCGATAAAGGCTATTTTAATGCTGGATGATGATCAATTGACATCAGCACATTCAGAAAACTGGGCTTGGGAATAATTGCAACAGGAAATCTCTATACACAACTGGAAAACTATATGAGAAAGGGAATCAGTTTTCTGGTATTCTGGAAACCCTAAACTATTTGGTGCACTGGCTAAATAACAGACTCACATTGAAAGCTTGATTTTGACTTAAGAAACAGCTTCTATATTGATTTTTTAGGTTGTATGATAAGGGGACTGTTCACTGATTAAATTATCCCCTTTTAAAAAAATAATTTTTTTCTATTTATAAAAAGTAATTTTGAACTTTTTGGTTAAAATTTTAAGTTATAACTTTAAAGATTTTAAATAGGATCTTCTTGAATAACTTTTCTATAATCTGTATCTTCATCCCACTTAATGGAAAACCAGAGGGTACCCCAAATTCAGAAGTATGCTTTGGAAAGGGGGCCCACATTTCAGGCAGCCTTGAAATATTTTAAAAGAAAACATTCTTTACTTTTATATTACATTCTTATAGTGCTGCCTTAAATTCAAAAACAGCTCAGAGCTCTTGTCTCTGGGATGTATGTGTGCCTTTTGTTAGAGAGACATAGTTGGTAATCTTAAATACTTGTTTTGCATTATCACTCAGTACCTGTTTGACTAAGGTGTTAAGGATAGTACTGTCCAATTCAAGCAGAGAAACTGACTCATTGGTGACTAAAATTAAGCACAGATGAACGAACTAGCAGTAGCAGGTTAATTGAATGTAAGTAGATTTGTAGATATTGTGTTTTATATCAGTGTTTATAATGTGTATATATAAATTGTTCACTGTAAAAAACATGGCCAAAATGTTTCTTTTTTTAAAATAAGTAACCTGCCTATAAAATAAATCTGTCCACGGTGGGACGACTGACTTCGTCGGACCTCTTATTCTTTGATTAGAACAAACCCACACCTCTTCTTACACCTGCCCCCAGGGGCCTGGCGCGGTGCTGGGCGCCGAGACGCACCGGTGCCGCAGCTGGTGCGTTTCTCTGGGGCTCAGCCAGGAGCATCCAGAGCGCGGGTCTGGGCCTCGGCGGGTGGGTGGGCACCTGGAAGGGTAGGTTTGGGCCTTTTCCCAGCTGTTGGCCATATGCTGGGTGTGTGTGCTTCTGTGGCTGCGGGGAAAATTCCCGCCGGCGGACCCAGAGCCCGGCAGGTCGGACACCGGGCGCGCCAGGCGGCGGCGGGAAGAGCGGCGGAAGCGCAGGGCCGCCGGAGTCCCATCGATTCGCCTCGGCCCGCCGGGCTGGCCCGGCTGCTGTCCTTGACCGGCGTGAGTCAACACTGCGTCATCCCCTGGCTGCCGAGCGGAGGTTGGGGGTGGGGGTCCGCTCAGGGGGGTGGGACCCTGACCGGGAGGAGCGGGGGGGTAGTGCGAGCTAACACTGCGGTTCTCACGCGTCCTGGGGGCTTCAGAACCACCTGCAGAGCCTGCTGGACTCTTGCCCGGCCTCAGCCCGGGTTTCTGATTTGGTAGGGCTGGAGGGGGACAGGGAATTTGCTTCTAACAGGTGTTCAGGTGATATCAAAGTTGCTGGTGGGGGACCAAGCGTTGAGAACCACTGTTCCAAGCGGGCCGGAATTCCCCATTCCCCCCTCACCCCACTCCCCACTCGTCCCTCACTGCTTAGCGGGAGGAAGCGGGGAGCAGGGCCTATCCAAGGTGGTGGGAGCCAGACTTTGATAGTGAGGGGAAGGAGCAGGCTGAAGGGATGGGTGTTGTGAGATGAGGGAGAATGAAAGTGCTGAGGGTGGGGTGGGGCTGAGAGAAAGGTGGGCTGAGGTTTCCGATTGGCCCAGGTGTTGCTGTTCTGCATCTAGCTGAGCCATCAGGCCCAGGAAAATGAGGAGAGAGACCCGCCAGAGGAGAAGCCCAGAGGTCTCTTATTCTAACCTGTGCCTCCTTGGAGGCCTCTAATTGTGGAGCTGGGTGCCTCCTGGCAGAGGTCCTGTGAAGGTGGCTGACCAGGTCTGTGGCTCCCTAGACACGGGCCTTCAGGTGAAGACAGAGCGAAGAAGTCGTTGCTCTTAGGGGTTTGTCGCATCCTGCCTCCTTGGAATTGCCTGTGAGTTTAGATTAGTATTGGGTCCTAGGGCAGGGAGGTGTGCATAGGCCTGGAAGTTTATAGATTTGAGTTGAAGTTTTCGTTCTTGGCCTCATTCTCTGTCTGAAGAATGAATATGGTCTAGTTGATCTACATGACCATTTCCAGCCCCCAAATTCCGAACTCAGTTCAAGCTCTTTATCTTTATTGTTTCTCCTATTCTCTGTGTCTCCTCGGTGTTGGATCCCAAAGGAGACATCCAGTGGGAGGGTCTTCTTTCCCATCAGCTGCAGGCTTCAAGCTCCCTGACTCTGCCTGACAGGTTACATCAGGGTTTCAAAGGTCATAATCAGTCGCCTTTGAAAATGGACTGTCTGTATCAGAGTTTGAGAGAATGGGAGGCTTGTGGGCCTAATATTGAATTAAAGCAATCCTGAAATCAGTGTGTGTGTTTCGCTCCTAGAGATAACCTCTGGTTAATGTTTATTCTTGAGAATAACTGTATCATGACTATCAAGTAGAGAAATACAGGCTTATGTATTGATGGACACTAGAAAAGCTGAGGGGTGAAATCTTGTTTCAAAATAAATAATCCTTGAAACCAGGCAGTTTTCCAATTTAAAGCTATTCCTAACTCTCTTCAAGTTGCTCATATTCTGAATCTAAACATGTCCTTAAGAATCAAGAGTGTGTTAACTGGAGGAAGTACAGTGTTCTCAGGACACAGGTTAGCATTAACTGTTCTCTGAAGTGCCCTGTTGCAGATTGCCAATGAATATTTACAAATTCTTCCTACAATCCAGGCATTTTTCATTTGTTTGTTTTTTGGCTATTTCATGTTGAAGCAGCAAGAATGACCTTTACAGCACAACTCCTGTCTTGTTTTTAACTCTTTTTATCAGGAGATTCAACTTGAAACGGTTATCATTTAGCAGAAAGACAAACAGAAAAGCACATTTTTGTAAGCAAAACGTTAATGATTGGAAGAATTGCCCTAATTTCACCATGACAGTATGTGATTAATCCCCTGGGTCATGTACTTATATTTTAAGTTATTCAGTTCGTTGGTCTTTGATATTCAGAACCCTTTCTAACTTAATAGGATATTGATTTTGTTGGATGATGTACTTTGACTCTTTAAACAACATCATTTTTAGGGTTGACTAGCTTGTTGTGTAGTATTTTATTTAGAGAACTATTGCATAAGGTTTCTTATTCTTAGTTTTTATGGTTTTCTCAGGGTGAGAGCTGATAAGACATCTTGTGGGAAAAGAGGAAACCATCTCTGATAGTGAAAGTACCTATTCTCTTTCAACATTTCTGACAACCCTATTTGTGTGTGTGTATGTGTGGTTTCTTTGCTGTGAATGTTCATTTTAGTTAATGGGGGCAGGGTAGGGATTCAAAAAAATGTATTTGGACTTGGAAAATGCATTTTCCTGGGGAGAGACTGCACTTACCAAAATTCCTATCCAGTTTTACTGCCTTGTGGAAGATTACATGAACTTAAAAGCTCACCTTTTTGATTCTTCTTTAAAATCCAATAATGATCCTTGAAATCCGTGATTGGAGGTGATATTTATATAACTATTGACAACATGGAAACATGGGACAGAACGTGGAAAACCAAGCAATCTCCCAGGATGCTTCTAAATGGTTAGAAATTTGTAACTTTTAGTAAAAATAATCTTAACATTTACTTTTCATCCCTTTGGGTTTCATGACATTCCAGCTGGACTCTGTACTTGCTCACCTAATTGTGTCCCTCGATACATTTTGTGGTATTGTTGCATTCAGATGAGAAGCATTTTGGAGATTCCTCCCACTCACCAAAATATCTAGATCTGAGGTCCACAGAACAGCAGCTACCCCTTTCTCAGGAATTACAGCCTTGTGGATAAGAGCAGGGCTGGGAGTAAGGCAAACCAGTGCCCTACACCTCCCTTGCTGGGGGCCTTGGGATACATGAATTCTCAGTCTTAGTTCCTCAGTTCCTTAGAGGTGGGTGGATCAACTGAGAGGAGGTATCTAGCACACAGTAGGCTCCAAGTATTAGCCAGAAAAGCTAGAAAGCCCCCACTGACTCCTTTCTTTTGAGGCAGTCTTTGATTCGCAGTTACAGGCGGGAAACCTCCTCAGTCAAATGTACACAAATCTCTGCAGACAATAGAGAGGGCTGTGGGGAGGGGACCTTGGAACTGGCAAAGGCATTTCCTGTCTGCAGAGGATCTTGACTTTGGAGCATCCGGCAGTCACCACGAAGTGAACCCTATCCTGTGTAGCTACTTAAAAAACAGAAAAAAGTCACTGCCAGTTTCAGGCAATTTTCCAGATGAAAGACAATAAGACCACTTCTCACTTAAAATTTTTTTAAAGCCTATTTTCTAACCATTAGAATCTTCTATTTTGGAAGGGGAGTTTGGTAGCATTAAAAATCTTAAATACTAAAAAAATCTCATCACTTTCTAAAGACTACTACAAGAAAGGTTTAACGATAACCCCATCCCCCCATTTGTAGATACTTGCTGGAGGAGAAAGGCCAATCAAGTTAGTCTCTATGAATCTTGTTTATAATTTTCTTTTATAGTTGAATTATGCCCTTCATCCTTCCTCACCTCTCCACTTCTTTTTCTTCATCTCTCTTCTCCCCTCTTCCCATCTCAGGATTCCTCTTCCTCATTCAGTTTATTTCGCCATTAAGAATAGAAAATGGCCCCGGCTGGTGATGCTTAGTTGGTTGGGTTACCGAAAAGTTGCCAGTTCGATTCTGGGTCAGGGCACATGCCCGCTTGCAGGCTCCATCCCTGGTGGGGGGTGTGCAGGAGGCAGCTGACTGATCAGTGGTTCACTCTCACACCAATGTTTCCCTCTCTCTAAAAATCAATAAAAATTAATTAATTAAAGGATAGAAAATAACTAGTTTTAACTTTTCAGACAACACAATTAGGGCCAAGATTGCCTTCAAATACGTAGAAACTTTCAGCGTTCAGGTGGAAATTCTAAGTTTGAGGGAGATGTTGGAGTCCTGATACACAGTCCCCATCCCTCCAAGGGCAGTTCTTTAGTTTAGCTCCCCCTCCTTTGGACCAGGATAAGCAATAATAGTGACAATAATAATAGAAGAGTAGTAATATTTGTTTGCTCAGGGGTCAAGCCCTCAGTAGCACTAGAGTGTGGTGGCTGACGGAGGGATGCTGCGGTAAGGTCTAGGCGAGCCTGGCCCCGAGCCTGGCCCCGAGCCTGGCCCCGAGCCTGGCCGTGACAGAGCCTTCCAGAGGCTCTTCATGAAAAGAAAGGAAACTGAAAGCTGTTCCAGGGAGAGGACTGATCATGCTCCCAGACCTGGAGGTAAAAGAGGGCAGGGAATTAACATAACTAGAATCTTCAGAGGTTTTTGCGTGTCAGAATTTGGGGAAAGGATTATAGGCGGCTATTCTCCGCTTTATTCACACAAATCTCTTTGCTTTTGTTTGCAGTTTCTTCTATCTGAAATTTTCTTCCCCCAGCTGGCCTCATGGCTGGTCCCCCATTCCCTCAGGCTCCGCCTTCTCTAGCCATCCTATTTAAAACCACAGCCTTCGCTCTTCCCTACCCCCTTCCACAATGTGCTTTTCTCTATTTCCCTTATTATGATTGGATATAATATTTTTACTTATTTATTACTTATCTCTCCTCATTGAGATGTTAATGCCATGAGGGTAGGGATTTTTGTCTGTTTTGTCTACTGTTGTATATATCCAGCCTGACGCAGAATAGGTGCTCCATAGGTATGTGTTGAATGAATGAATGAATGAACATATATTGATCACTAACTATGTATTAAATATTA